AGCTGATAATATTTACTTCAGTAGCATTGTGAGATGACAGGACATTAGTGTGATCCTGTTTGTATTTTGAAGGTTTCTTTCTGATAGGAGAGTTGATGTAGTTGAGAAGCAGGAAGTGAAATGGGCAATTATAAAGAATTCCACTGAGGCTTAGTACATGTTTACCCCTTCCTTTGGAAGACAGTGTCCCAGACTGTGTTTCTTGAAGCTTCCTTGCACAAAGCTGAGACACACTATCCTGTAAAGGTAGGTATATATTTGGACAATCCAGGGGAAAGTTAGCAAGGGCCAGAATCTGGTTAAGACAGAAGTAGAAAAGAGTTGCTAAATAGACATAAAGACTTCTTCTAGAGGTATAGTGCTCAATGTTCTCTGCAGATGCCTTGGAGCCTCCAAGACTTTTTCAGAGTCTCTGGGTAGTAAAAGTGAATCTGATTGGGTATGGTGGCTCATGCCTTTAATCCCAGCACTCAGAGGCAGGGGCAGGCAGATCTCTGTTGAGTTCAAGGCCAGCCTGATCTACATAGTGAGTTCCAGGTAAGCTGGGGCTACAGGGAGACCCCTGTCTCAAAAAAAAAAAAAAAAAAAGTGGATCTGATAATAGTACCCAGACATCATTCAGTTTTTTTCACTTGTAGTTTGCACAGATGATGTAGTGATGATGATGATGTTGGCTCAGCATGAAGCAAGGTAGCTGCACCAAACCAACCTAGTCACTATTGAGCTCTTTCCCTCTTAGCACTACAGTAAAAAGGAAAAGCCATAAAAATTGATTAATTTTAACAAATTAGAGCTCTTGAATGTATGCCTTTTAAAATCAAATTTTCATGATGCAATGTGAAGTATATGCAAAGTGCTCCTACGAACCAAAGAACAAGCGTATCTTGAGGAAAAACCCTCAGTTATAGGAGTCAAGAGCTGAATTAGACACTAGTTTATTCATTAATTTATTTAGTATTTGTGGTAGTGCTAACCCAATTGAAGGATTGGCATCTGCTATGGTAAGCATTCTACCACTGTCATATCCTCCAGGAGCTACATTTTTTGTTTAAGTGAAACACCATTTTTACTCAAAACAAAACAAAACAAAACAAATAAACAACCCCCCCCAAAAAAACAAAAAAAAACCAAAAAACAAAAAACCCAGCAGAAGACAAATTCATCATTTCTGATATGGGTATCTGGCACCCAGCCATCCAGCTTTTCTTAAAACTGGACCAATCACTTTCACTGTTCAAGTGAAGGAACAATAATGTTGATTGTTAACCACATTATCTGCACTTTAAAGCCCAACGTAGAATGCTGCCAAAATTAAATGTGTCAATATTGTTCTAGTTTACCATCAATTGTTGTGACAAAACACTCTGACCAATACCAACTCGGGGAGGAAAACGTTTATTTGGCTTACGTCTCCTGGGTCACAGTTCATCACCAAGGGAGCTCAAGGAAGGAACTCAGGGCAGAAACCCAGAGGCGGGAATGAAGCACAGGCCACAGAGGAATGCTGCTTACTGGCTTGTTCCTCCCCATGATCTGTCTGCTCTCTTATATGATACGTAACAACCTGTCCAGGGGTGGCAGCACCGACTGGGGGCTGGGGGCTGGGGGCTGGGCCCTCCCACATCACTAAAAATCAAGGAAATCCACACAGACATGGCTACAGGTCAGTCCAACAGAGGCAATTCCCCAATTGAGGCTTCCTCTACCCAGGTGTGTCAAGCTGACAACTAAAGTGATTCAGCACAAATAGGAACCTTATATGACTCAACTTTTAAAATGAAATTTCCTGATATTGTATAATAAATTATAAAAATATTTGCAGGATATAGGAATAGCTGTAAGCCTATGTTTTTCAAATGAGCAGTCTAGTGGGTAAAACAGACCAGTGGATTTTCATCTAGTGAATACAAAACAGACCAGTGGATTTTCATCTCACAGATACAGTTTTAGATTCCACATTACAAATAGCCTTTAAGAAATGTCACTTACTGAGTTTGGAGGAAAATGCAGGAAGGATAGCCACAATTGTCTGCAAGACTATTAAAATAATAGCCATTTTCACTTTTTTTTTTTTTTTTAGTTTTTGAGACAGGGTCTCACTGTAGCCGCAACTGGCCCAGAACTGGCTATTTAGACCAGGCTGGCCTTGGTCTCACAGAGATCCGCTTGCCTTTACCTCTCAATTACTGGGATTAAAGGTGTGGACCTGGCTCATTTTCACTATATTTCTAACAAGATCAGATTTCTCTATTTTCTATGAAAATTTATTGTAACAAACTGAAAAATAAACCAGATAAGATCCAGTTGTCTAGATATAACACCTGAAACTCTGAAACTGCTAGAAGAAAATATAAGGGAAACTCTTCAAGACACTGATGTATGTGATGCATCTTTAGACAACACTCCTGAGGCACAGGAAATAAAAGCAAAAATAGACAAAAGAGGTTCTGTCCAACTACACAGCTTCTACCCAACAAAGGTACTGAACAAAATGAAGAGGCATCTGCATAATGGGAAAGTATGTTTGCTAACTATCTGACAAAGGATCTATATCCAAAATACATAAGGTACCTTAAAAAGTTAATAACAAAACCCCCCAATCATTAAGGAGAAAAGTCCATGAGATTTTCTCAAAAGAAGAAATTCATGTTGCCAGCAACTCGTGAAAAAGTAAAACACTGAAATTCATCATAAGTTATGGAAATACAAGTAAAGCTATAATGAGCAGACATCTTATCCCAATTTAAAAAATGGCTATCAAAGGCTCAAAAAATAACAAATGCTGGCAAGTATTTGGAGAAAAAGGAACTTTTATATATTGTTGGTTGGAATGTAAATTGGAACAGTTATTTGAAGAACATTATGGAAGTTCCTTAAGACAGTAGATTTACCATATGATCCAGCTACCCCACTTCTGGATATATATCTGAAAGGAGTATCAGTATATCAACAATCAGTGAGATAACTGGTCATCCATGTTTATTGGTGCAGTGTCCACAATAATTGAGATGTGCATCAGCCCAAGTGTTTATCATGGATAAAGAAAATCCCGTATGTAGAATGAAATACTATTATGGCATAAAATAATTATATTCAATCATTTGTAACAAAATGTGGAACTGGAGGACTATGTCAAGTGATGTTAAGTCAGACAAAGAAAGACAAGTTCCACATATTTTCTCTCAAGTGTAGATATTTTAAAAAGTTAGCAGAATGCATAATAGTAATTACTGGTTTCTAGAAAGATTAAGGGGATGAAGGGATGGGTACTTCAACATAGGTAGAGTATGTTCTAGTGTTTTTGCACAGTGGGGACTATAGTTTACAATACCCTATAATATACTTTATGAATAACTAGGAGAAGAGGTAAAAGACACCCAACATAAAGTAATGATAAGGTGGTGAAAATGTTAATTACCTTGATTTGATCAATATGTATTATACGTGTTTTGGAATACCACACTGTACCTTCCAGGAATCAAGTAGTACCACATTTAGAAAGGCAAGTAAAACAATAGGCAGGATTTGAAGGGAAGCAAAAGTCTGTAGCGGTATATGGGAATACTGCTGTTCATTGTAATACAAGTGAGAGAGGGGTTTCTTTAATTTGGATATTCTACACGAATATGCACAACTTTCTTCTCTCTAAGGTATCAGATATAGATGCAGGAGGACAGAATTTCCTCTTCCGAGTTCTTCAGTTGCTTCAACCTGCTAGTTCCTGTAGTTCTCATTGTGTAAGTGCAGAGCAGCTAACATGAGGGATCTGATCAGAAGTCATGTTCACGAACATTTAGAGACTGAATGCCTTTCTCATTCTCTTTTGAGGGATGGCAATGTGCCCTCAGACTCCCTTCTGGGTCTGTTTGCTCCACTGCAGTACTGGGGTCAGCACACAGATGTTCTGATATGAAGCACAGTTAAAACAATTTACTCATTCAGATGATATTTTTCCTTGAAGATAATCAAACCAAATGTTTGCAGATTGAGGCTTTTAATAGGGAAAAGAGGTGACCAAATTATTGATATTGATGATTTATATCTTCAAATGATCTTTGAAGTATGCATATAATTTGTGAACATTAGCTTCAAAAGCATCCTTTCTGGAATGACCTGTGTGAGTTACAATGATAGAGAACCACTTATCAAAAATATTCTCTCTAGACAGAGCCTTACAAGTGAAAGAACAAAATCAGATTAAATGAGAGAGCTCCGCCCTGAACCAGATACCAAGGCAAGTGGCAGTAATTTCTGGGCTCCCAGTAAGTAACAAGTCATCCAAGTGCTTGCATTGACACCTTCCAGTTTGTATGGACTCAATAACCACCAGTTATGTATTGGCCCCTATAAATCAGCATGTGTGACAGTGGCTCCCTGCTAGACGGAGTAGCCAATCACTACTGTGTGGTGACTTAATGAGGCTGGCACTGTGTTTCCACCTGAAGTTTTTAACCAACCAAAGTGCTGCATTATATAACATTCTACTGTTGTGGAATCTCATTTTAACCTTTGACTTAAACCTTAATTTCTAATCAGAACTCAAGTTTCCAAATTAAACAACCCCTACCCTAGAATTTATTAAGGGACCACCAGTGTGGTATGAATTAATTTAAAAATTCTTCCTTCTAAGCTGTAAACATTTGACTTGCAAAGCCAGATTGACCTGGGTAAGGAAGAGGGGATTCTTTGAGTGAGAAAAGGGATAGTTTTTAAAAATGAGTTCAATTTTGCTCTATTATCTCACCTCTTTCCTTACTACCATCCAGCTGCTGACCAGCCATGATGATGAGTCACTGACTCATCCTCAAACTTTCAGTTCCCAAGGAAAGAGCCCCAGTTATAACTTGCACTTAACAGTCAGCAAGATAACCTTAACCTGAACACTTATCTTTCTCCCTACTACCCATCACTCTCTTTTTTCATGAAGCATCCATTTTTATTTTCCTTCCTGGCCTTTTTTCTATAGTGTAATTTTACAAGAAATGGAAAGTTTTATTTACCCAGGGATACTCTTGCAGGAACAGCCCTTCGGTCAATCCAGAATGAAACTCATGAAATCATCACCATCAACATGGCTGGGAAATAGGTTTACATCACAAAGAAGAAAATATGCCTCTTAGGCACAAAAGCCAGTTAGGCATAGTGGTACATGCCTTTAATCTCAGCACTTGGAAGATAGAGGCAGGGAGATCTCTGTGAGATCAAGGCCAGCCTGATCTACATAGTGAGTTCTAGGCCAGCTGGAGCTACATGGACACTTGTCTCAAAAGGCAAGAAAAGAAAAAAAAGAAAAGAAAAGACCATCTGTAGGACTTCTCACCAGTTATGATGATGTCCCAGTTACATTTAATATTTACCCTCGCTTTTCATCTTTCATTCATATTCATACATTTTAATGCATATTAATAACAATGACACAAATATTAATATTTCCTAAACTAAGGTAAAATAATGAATACATTTTAAAATTTAAAGTAAATACTGAATAGTTTATGGATAATGGTTAGGTTAATTTTTCTGTATTGAAATTTAAGTGAAATTATTTAAAATACAGAGATTATCAATTAAACTATAAAGCAAAATCATAGGTAATGGAAAGTTAGAGAACTCTTCTGGTAATTTCAGAGGAAACACAAAATGGCAAACCTGTTGGATGGATCAGGTGAATTGGTCCAAGACTTTACATACACCAGGTAAGCCCACTTTGAACTGGGAGGCTCTACTTGTCATTGCCTATTCTCAGTTAACTGCTCATTATATTTTTCCTCTTATCAGATTCCAAGCTTCTCTGTCACTATTAGTTGACAATGTGCTTTGATACATATATATATGTATATATGTATATACTTCAATATTACTAATTCCATTAGTAAAAGATACATCATGAAGTACATTCTGTGGTTAAAATATACATCACCCTTTGTTCTAGTCTTTGTCTTGTATTTGCACTTGCTCTTAGCCCAAAGGCTGAGAGGTGATCATTGTGTGTCACTCACCTTACTACTGTGTGCAGTTGAGAGCTTTGATTATGGCTGCAGAGTAGAATAATAGCATACAACCTGCAGAGTGTCACATCATTGTTGGAAGATTAAAATACATTAACTATAAAAGCTATCCATAAAGAAAGATAGTATTACAGTATAATCACCCCTTGGTAATACTATCTAATAGTGTTATTAATCACCCCTGTAATATTATCTAGGGCATCAAAATCTATAGAAGTACAGGTCCCCATTTAAAATGGTGCAGCATTTGCATATAACCTATGCACATCTTTCCAAATACTTTAATTCACATCTGTTATTTGCAGTGCCCAAAACAATGCAAATTCTATGTAAATAGCTGTTATGTCACATTGTTTTGGGAGTCAGGACAGCACATAATTATGGTCATGGTCAATATAAACCTGTTTACAAATTATTCTCATGTCTATGAATGTGAAAACACTAGATACAGAGGGTTGACTGAGGTGGTTCTCTGTTGATTATTGAAATAATTTTAGGTATATGATAATGATGATGATGAAGAAGAAGATGATGATTATGCAATGATAAGGATTAAACCTGGAGTCTCACAGGTACTAGGTAAGCACTGTATTGCTGAGTTACACCTCTGCTCATACTTTTTATTGCTTTCTTGAGACAGGGTCTCCCTGAAGCCCCAGCTGGCCTGGAACTCACTATGTAGACCAGGCTGGCCTTGATCTCACAGAGATCTGCCTACCTCAACCTCCTGAGTACTTGGATTAAAGATATGCATCACCGCGCCTGGCTATCCTCATACTTTTCTGGAGAATAATTATCTAGGTTTTTATTGGTGGGGCTGGTGCAAGGGATCAGGAAAAAAAATATGTTGCTCCATCTCGTGGCTCTTTGGGGAAGGGAAGAGCAGGGATGGTACTGTGGTTAGAGTACAGGGGGTTTGTTTTCCTACAACAACACACAACTCTACCTTATAAGAATGTAAATCATCATTTTGGGTAATGCAACAGAGTCTGACTTCATCTTTCATGCTTGACTACTGAGGGTTCTCAAGCCCCATTTTCACTTCCTTTTTGCCCTGTATATAGCAATCTAAAAAACGAAAATGAGTAAACAACCCTGAACAAACATGGAAAGCGTCTTTTGGCACCTGTGAAAAGTTCAAGTCATCAATGTGTACCCCACATAAGGGAACACCCCTACCTTTGCTCTTCCCACCAGCCACCATAAAATAGCTCCTTTCTGTTCTCTCAGCCACTTTCAGACCTGCTTGGCAGCCTGCACTGCTTGAGCAAGCCCAGAATGAGTAATCAACTCTTCATACATTTATTGTGTATAGCATCATCCTTTTTGCAACATGAACCCAGTTTTTGGTGTGCACATTAGAAGGGTTCCATTGGCCTCCATCAGGCTGCTATAGGAGAAAGAAGCAGAACTACATACTTGAGAAAAAGGCTAGAAAATGGGCAGTCAGGAAAAGCTACCAGAGACCAGAAACTGGGCAGTCATCCCAAGACTGGATAGAAGCATCTTCTATACCTATAGATAGTCATCTATAATCATCTTTTGACACTAAGGCCCACAACTGTATCAAAAGAGTCATGACAAAGACATTGATAGAAAGTGTAATAATGATAGCTACTAACTAATATCACTTAAGCACTTCCCACATGGCAGCCACTATTCTATGTTACTTAAATGTAAGTCATGTATCTTTAAAACCCAAATGAGGTAGAGACCACTGTAAAACCCATTCAAGGACGGGAAATTGAGGGTTAGATTAAGCAACTCTTCCAAAGTTTCTTTGCTGATAAGTAATAAAACCTGAATTTGACCTCAAGCAGTCTCTCCTGTACTTATGATTTGATAACAAATACTTGTTTGCTGTGTCCCTTAGGGTAGGAGTCTTTTCATTTGTGAATATACAGGTGTGATTTAGAGAAGCATTGAAAGGAATGAAGGGCAGAGAAGCCCTATCCTACTTGATATTAGCAGGTAATCATGGGTTTTGTGCAGTGCTAATGGTAGTGGTGAAAACACTGCCAAGAATGATTCAGTTAAAAATGGAATCTAGCATCCACTTGTGAAAGAGTATATGTGACATGCGTCTGAAGTTATCATCAACCTTATCCAGCTGGTAACCCTGAGAGATACAGTAATGACTGGCCTGGCAAGATATACCCACTGGTACAAAAGTAGCATGACTATTATGGAAATAACCAACCACCTTCTGATTGGATTCAAGACTAACTTCACAAGATGGAACTAATACCAAGCTCATTTATCAGGGCCAAGAGTCTGTGGCTAGATGGGTCACAGGCTATAAGGGAGAACCTACAACTATTATTATACTAAATTGATAAAATAGTAAACTGACTCCTAATTACTTATTGTAATATCTATAGTTTATCTCTCACCTCTCACCAGAGAAGCTTCTTCTCACACCAGACAGCAATTAACACAGAGACCCACAACTTGTCAATACACAGAGAATAGGAGACTGTGGAGTGCTCAGCCCTAAGTGGGACCTCTATATCACACTCCCTCTTCCAAAGGCTTAGGAATCACTGGGGAAGAGAGAGCAGAAAGATTGCAAAATCCCGAAGTGGTGAATGAATACACGGAAACAGTGTTTTCTAGACAGCAGGGAAGTTATACACATGAATTCAGAGCACTTGTCACAGCATGTGTAAGACCTGCTCATGTTCAAGCCAGAAAAAATATCCCAGGATGGAGAGGGGAGATGGGCAAGAAGCCCTAACCCTACCTGAGGTTCTATTGGCAATTGATAGCTGCTGGCAGAGGGAGAGTGAGTTTCCTTTAAGATCGTGATGCCTGGTAGGTTGACCAGACTCTAAGGGATGGGCCCACACCTAAAAGCACTTGGGGAACACAAATTAGACTTGACAGGGCTTTAAAAATGATGAAAAAAAAAGGCTATGAAGTCAGTTGTATGTGTTTTAGGGTGTGGTGTAGAGATGGGAGGGGGTCAGAATACGACCAAAATATATTGCATGAATTCTCAAAGAATCAAAATATTAAGAAAACAAGAGAAAAAAGAACTTATATTTCTTTAACTCTATTTCTGGTGCTAATAGTGGAAGCCAGCTGCATAATTTTAGATAGTGATTATTGTTGGTAGTTGTAAAGACAGGAATTAAGAAAGTATATATAGGCTGGGTATGGTGGTGCACACCTTTAATCCCAGCACTCGGGAGGCAGAGGCAGGCAGATCTCTGTGAGTTCCAGGACAGCTGGGGCTACAGGGAGACCCTGTCTCAAAAAAGACCAAAAAAAAAAGTGAGTATATCTACAACTATATTTGATAAAGCTAACATCTTTAAACAGGATGCTATTCTCAGAAAAACACTTGTGTTTAGCTAGAAGGAGCATGCTAAAAAAAAAAGTGGGATAATGTGGGGCAGCGCTGTCAAGTACTCATGAGCTGAAATTAGTTTCTAAATGCCATCTTTCTGAAACCTAAAGACTAGTTAAATCAACCTGGATATGACTATTGATTTGATACCAAAAATATAACTTTCAAAATTCTTTGCTCTTACATTTTTCTGTTCTTAGAGCCTATTTTAATCCTTCTCATTAAGAATGTGCACATTTAAACAAATTTACAGCTATAAAGTTTTGAAATAAAATAAAATTTTCCTCAATCTGTACCTACTTCGTAGAATTTTAAAATGCACACATGTACAAACATGCTCTTATTTGTTTAAATCCTTTCTTTAATAAAAATATGAAATGGTGTTATATATTCTTCTTAGTTGCTTTTTAAATTAAAATAAACTCTCATCATTTTACATATAGTTGTACATTTGAACCTAATTCTATCTTCTTCCATTTTTCTCAGGAATTAAAGTTCTATTTCTTGAAGATAAAAATCATACTGGAATGTTAAGGGTTTGTAGCTCATTTAAATAATAAGTAAAAGTATCTTTACAGTCAGATTTTCAATGCAATGTTTTGTCTGGCTTTTGACAGACTAAAACATTGAACAGAAGATGATAAAAGTCAAGTAGTGTTGAGCCTGCCTGGTAGGGCTTAAAAAGGTTGACAAGCACAAATAGACAATAGAGCCAATGAAATGACTTAGAGGTGAAGTTAGAATGTGGAAATAGAATTTAACCTCTTCTTTTAAAGGAATCATTGAATTTATACTGAATATATATTCATAAGCACTTAGTTTAAAATGCTTAATAAATGGCATTGCTATTATTATAGGTATATTGCATATATTCTGTGTAGGAAATGCCACCCTTGGATTTCTGTGACCTTTGTGTGTCACATTATAATAACACTATGCATTATAAATTATAACTATAATTTATCTTGTGTTGAAGTTATTTTATCATAGAAATAATAAAGAAAAGTTACATTTCATATGTAACATTGTTCATCACACACATTCCTTTGTTTAAATACTGATTTAATTTAATTTAGGACCCAAAACATCAAAGTCCTGAAAACATGTATGAGAAAAGGAGCAGAGCAAGTGGAAAAATGAGTTCCAGTAACAGCTTCTCTCCAGAGAAGCTGGAGTTTCACATGGGCTTTTCTTTCTTTAAACTTTTGAGTTCTTTTCATATTATCCATTTCTATTTCAAATTATCCATTATTTATTTATTCAACAATTTGATTCTGAGATTCTTCTATGAGTCAGGGATATATCAATGATTAAGAAACACAATTGTGTGTTATTTACATATCAAAATGCAATGAACATGATTAAAATTAATAGTATAATTTTCTGAATGTTAAGTAATGCAGAAAACATGGAATGAAGCAGAACATTTATCCTTGATCTAAATAGCTAGAGACCTTTTGGTCCTAGAAACTCAGCTAGCTTCTCTGGGATTTAAATCTTTGTTTTAATTTTTTAAATATTTTATTATTTTTATTTTATGTGTATGCGTGTACAGCCTGCATGTAGGTCTGTGCACCCATGTTGTGCAATGCTGGAGGAGGACAGAAGAAGCTGTCGGATCCCCTGGAACTGGAGTTATGGTTGTTAGCCGCCATGTGGGTGCTGGGATAAATCTTGGTTTTATTTTTAAAGACAAGCTTTCAGAGGAAAGATAAGTAACTAACTGCTTTTCAAGTTCCAAAACTGAGTGGGTGGAAAGGATTCTACCTCTAAACCTCAGGGGCAACTGTGGCCCCACTTTCTGGCCTGAACGTATCTCCATTGAGTCACAGGTGAAATTTTATCTGCCTAAAATGACACAGGGTACTGAGAACTAACAAGATGATGAAAATGACTGTGGGGATGGGAGTAGTGGCAGAAGTCACAGAGACTGATACTAACTTTAGTTAGGAGTGACCACCTTTAAAAATGCCTTGGATAGGAGTTACCAAATCAAAAACAATGTCACAGAGAAGAGTATATCTTCCTCATTTTGAATGAAGTTTCTCTTAAGATCAATAGTGCACTTTGTTAAATGATTGCTTCAGCTGGTTTTTATTGAGTACCTATCATGTACCAGGCACATTCTAGGTTCTGGGAAGGAATGGTTGTTCCACAAGGCTTACAAGAGTTCCTGACTTCTTTCTAAAGAAGGACTCAGACAATAAAGCAGTCAAACAGACACTTATTTCAGCTAATAGTAAATGCTGTGAAGACAGAGGAGATAGGAAACAGTGAAGATGGAGGTTTAGTTTAGACAGGCTGGTTAGGAAAGAAGTGTTTGGGAAGATATTTGAATACACTCTGACTGAAGCAGAGAGCTGGTCATGTGGTGATGGAGTTGGGCAAAGCTGAGCCCACATAGAGCAAATGAGGTGAGTGTGTTTGAGAACAAGCAGAGGGTGGGGGAGATGATTCAGTGGAGAGGTTTAGGGTAGGGTCAGAGCAGTAAATGGGATGTGGATCAGCTGAGAAATTTGAGGAAGTGGAAAAATATTGAAGGATTTTGAGCAGGACAGAATAGCAATCTCCATGTTACAAAGATCTGTCTGTGTGCTCTACTGGAGGAGAAGGGAGGGGCCAAGAGTGGAAATAAGGCGTCTCCTGGGAGGGATGTGCACACTAGGGAAAGAAGAGATGCTTACTTCACAAACAGAAGAGGCCCAGTAGATGGCAAAGAATTGTCTGCATACAGTGCTGTACCTGTGCTGCTACAGAAAGCTAATCCATTGGATGTACTGAACTCCTCAATGAAGAACTGCAAAAGGGAAATATGCTCTTCAGTATTTAAGGACTTGTTCCTGTGTTTCCAGTACAGCATTAGATCCACTTCATTGTAGGCATCTGAAATAAACAGAAACACTTCTATAATTAGAATAAGCTCTTAGAGGTTACATGATGTCTGTAGCCATGCTTTATACAGTTCTGAATTTCCTAGTTCTTAGTTCAGTGATGTTCATGTGTTAAGGTGTTGAAAAATGTTCTCCAATGGATTAAACAAAATCACATTTCAAAAGGAAATGAAACAAGAAAAAATAAACAAGTAAAAAAACTCCTCAACACAAACCCTGATGATTGATAGGGTGGAGGCTTTTCTCCCTCTGTAATGGTTAAAATTCCCCAGTGGGACCTGTCTGTATAGATTCTCACACACAGTTAAGCTGGGCCTCAGGACAAGGCCAAGATTCACTGAGGCTATGCCTTTGCGTTTCTTTAATGTTGGATGAAATTGAAAAATGAGTGCCTTAATTTGTAGAAAAATTTCTTCTTATAAAATTATGGTATAGAAAGTTTGTAATAGATTTAGAAAAGAATAGCTATGTAGGAGTCATCCATTGAGATTCCCAGAGTTTTGGTCATACTATGAAAAATTTCAATTAACTTGTGGTCGTCAGCTGTGGCTGCTCTCCTGTTCTCTTAGTTCCTCCGATCAGTCATCTGGTCTGGACCCCAGGGCTGGTGAGGAGACTGTGTCAGTGGAGCCATACTCAGACACAGGAGACCAGGTTCAGTGACAGATCTGGTTTATTGCAGGAAGGCACAAGCTTATATAGGGGTAGTGGTCCAATCACAGCACAGCAAGTAGTTTAAAGGTGAGGTATCCAAGGGTGGTGCACAATACAGTAAGTAGTTTAAAGGTGAGGTATCCAAGGGTGGTGATTAGGGAGTAGCAAGCTCTAGGCATTAGTCTCATGATCTGCCAATGGGAGCAAAATGTCACAAGGCATTCCTTGTGGCTCCAGCAGTTGGGCCGTTGCCTCAGGCCTGCTGTATGGCTGTCAATAAGAGTTTCACCCTAGGCTCAAGTCTGTCTCCCACATTAACTTTCAAGATAGCTTATCAAAAGTGAATGTTGGGTGAAAGTAATTGACAGGGAGCTGGATCAGAGGCTCTTTGACCAGGCTTTGATTAGAAGGTCTATGCTGCAAGTTGGGCTTTTCTGGAGAACCCATATTCATTTAATAGAGGCTTGGTACTCATCCAACAATAGGATTCAAGTGATTTTCAAATGTGGAAAGTTTGTACAAATGTTGGAAAATTCACCATCTAAAGGAGCTCTTCCTTTTTTATTATTGGGGTGAAAATGACAGAATATTTGATGACCGAAACATTTCCTCTCAAATCTTGTCATCTAAAGACAATATACCATAATCATTAGAAAAATAGAGATGTGTAAGAATGCAAAGAAAAACTCTACAACTGGAAAAGCATATCAAGATGTTTAAATGGTTGCTAAGGGCATGTGAGTTGTGTGATGGTGTGTTCAATGACGATGTCAACCTACTCCATTAGGCAATAAAACTTACTGCTTTCCAGCTGAAGAGAACACTTTTGAGTGTCAAGAGGAAACCTGCTGAAATCCATAAAGCACATGGCTGAAACTGTTATCTTGCAAAAGGAATGAGAAAAAGAACTGCGGATCATTTACCCATATGGCCCAATTAGCATGCAACACTGAAGCTCCTTATTGTCTGCCTGTTTTGTGTGCCTTTCCAGAATACTGTGAAACAGGCTTGCCTATCTTCTGTCCAAATAACAAGGAGGCAAAGCCAGAAAGGTGGGTGAGTTGCTTAAGGCAGAGATTGATGAGTGAATTCCAGCTCTTATAATTGATTCTGATTTCATCATTTCTTTCTCAGCTCCCACTGCATTTTCTGGCTCTGATATTTTTCAGAAAAAGACTTCAGAGTCAGATGTTTATAAGTACATTTAAATATTTTCTGCTTTGGGGAAGATACAAAATTAAATAGTCTCTAGTAATAAAGAGTTGGGATGGTGACAATGAAAATATATAGGTAAAGGTTTTCATCACAAAGCATTTGAAAACTTACTTGAGGAAATTGTCCTTTCCAGTAGTGAGGGAAAAGTCTGGAGCATGTTTAGTCATAGATCTATGGGCACAATGCATAATTCAAGTGCTATTAAGTCAAAGGCTTGCATACTGATGAGGTTTTTTTTTTAAATCCAAATTTTATATTCTCTAGGATTTTCCTGACCCCAGGCAGAGGCTGCTATATTATGATCTTGCCTCAAAGTGAGAACTATAGTAGCCCAAATAGCAGATCAGATGTTCATAAAATGCCCCCAAGGAAGTCTGCAAAAACAAAAGCAACATATGTTCCTGCCTATGGTGCCCCTGAGTTAATCACAAGAGCAGATCCACTTTATCTTCTGTGACCTGAATTTTATTGTCAGTAGTCAAAGCATCAAGAAAGGAAGTGTGTAGGTGGCTTTGGGTAGAGATAATATACTTAGTCTAGTATATTCCTAGTATATTACAGTTGGAAGTAACCTCTGCAGTCTTTTATTACCATTTCCCTAATCATATACATGAAGAAATTAATGAACAAAAGAAGGTTTATGGTTAAGTGGCATTGGAACCCAACCTGGTACCAGGTGACCTGACTGTATTTGGACTGGCTCTGCTGTTGGGTAGAAGAGCTGTGCTCACATTTTTGTGTCCTTCTGAGCTTGGGGCTCTCCAAGACCGCCTACAGGGTCAATTCCTCCAAAAGACTCACAGAACTCAGCAGAGCCCATAGTTACTATATGACGGAGGTATGCTATACTTTACTATAATGAGGGTTAAAATAATAAACAGAGAAGGAGTACAGGGCTGAGTCCAAGAGAGATTAGAGCAAGTTTCCTGTTGTCCTCACCTGGAGAATGTGAGATCATCTGCCAGCAGTGATAAGAGACATCATACACGGTGCACTGGGGACAGGGTAGTTCATGCAGGCCTTGGTGTGGGAAACTTTACCTGAGAGTTGCCGAAGCTATGTAGTCATGGTTGACCAGCCAGATGGCTGATCTTAGCCTTTGCTCCCTCTGGAGGTGAGGAGAGAGTGAAAACGTGGCACACGTCCCCACCATAAACACTGAACATAGACACTCTGACTTGGCTCAAGGACTCCAGGAGAACAGAAACGCTCTTATCACACAAGATATTCCAAAAGATTAGAGGTTACTTCAGAAGAGTCTGTTTGACAAGGGTCAAACAGATTTCAGTATGTACAAGATTAACAGGATCCACAGGGTTAATCTAATTACTGATCATCTCTTCACCCAAACAAACTTAAAACGGTTGACTCTTAGATCAGGTATTGCTGTTCTGCTATCAATTCCTAATGATACTTGACTCTCATATTTATGAGTCCTGTAGAAAACAGTACTGTTCCTTAATTGCAATTATTAAAAAATATTTACAGCTTTTATGAACTGGCTGGTGATAGCTACACTGTAAATGATGCTTCTATTGAGCAAAAAACTGTCCAAGTTTCTTACTGCTGCTGTAATACATGACCACAAACTTAGCAGTTTAAAACAACAGAAATTTATTCTTTCACAGTTCTGTAGACCAGAGTTTGATCAGTATCACTGGGTCAAAATTGCTCATTTAGGGCTTCTAGGGGGAAAATCCACTTAGTTTACATTCCTGCTGGTATCACTAGCCCTGGGCTTGGCATCTTACTGCTATTGCCTTCTGTGTGTATCAGATTTTCCTCTCCTTCTCTAGTGGATTCTTGTAATGCTTTTAAAAGAGACACAAGGATCACTTTCCCATGTTAAGATCTTTAGTTCAACCACATTTTCAAGCATCCTTTTAATTTTTTCATATAGAATAACCCTCACAAGGATAAAGATATAGATATCTTTTGAGGTATTCATTTTTTTCAACCTACTATAGACTCTCAGATTTCCAAGATCTTAAAAATTCTTGGATCTATAGAACATTTTAGAATTTTTATTTCATGCCACTCAATATGCACAAGACTCATTTAGCTAATGTGAAATATGGAACATTAAAGAAGGAAGGCCATTGTAGCCTAGTGTTAGAATAAATGTTTTAACTAAAAAAGAAAAGGAAGTAAGAAAATTATGCTAACTTGATGATTATGCCTTCATGCAGCAAATGAGGGAGCTAACTGAAAAAATTATTTTGCTAATGCCACATTCTGAAACTGCTTGGTGGAGTGCAGGAATAAGTTGGAGTTGGTTAGAAACAGGCTCACAACAGGTTCACATGCCTAAACAATCATGTACCAGACTTTTACAGGCTTCTAGAACTCAGTTCCCTTCTTTTTGTCCAAACAACATATGCTCAGAGTGTATGAAATAGATAAACTAGAAAACAATTCTTTAAAACCAAAGTGTTAAAAGCAGGAAAGTTACATATCCTGCTTGAGTCTCAAGCTTCAACATCATTAAACCGGTAACAATGCTGTGAGTTTAATCTGAAGTGAGAACCAGTATGTAGATGGCTGTGATCCAAGGAAGCCAAAAATCATAGGGAACTCTCACACCTGAGACTGAAGAGGACATTTCCATCAGGGTGTACTCAAAGCATGATGTTCTGCACAGTTGTGTCATAGATGAAGGCTCTTTTAAAGTGGACGAAAAAGATATCCAGCACCCAAATCTTCTGGATCAATCTGTGATCTATGGTCATGCTTTTGTTCGTAGTGCTAGGAAAGGAGAGTCTCTCATCTTTCCAGTAATGCCTGAGATAAATAGTCATTGTAAAGTCCTCAGAAGAGAGAAAAAGACCAATGAAACCAGCAGGAACAGGGTTCAGATAACCATTTCAATATTATTAGCTCACAGATGGCCTTGGGTGTTAATGGCTTGTAGGTGAATGACTTATATTACAGTTTTAGGTAGTTGTAGGATAAAGCTAGTCATTTCTTTCCCCTCCCACCCTCCTCCCTTCCCTCCCTCCCTCCCTCCTTCCCTCTCTTTCTCCTTCCTTCCTTCCTTCCTTCCTTCCTTCCTTCCTTCCTTCCTTCCTCCCTCCCCTCCACACACCCACCCTCCCCCCCATCCTCCTCCTTTTTTCATTTTAAACATGGTCTTACTATCAAGTGTAGGCTAGAATTCAACTCAAAATCCCTCCATCTCAGCATCCTGAGTGCCAGAATTACCAGCATATGCCATGCCTGGCTTCAAAAATTTCTTAAATAAATATTAATTTTAAATTTGTTTTTGTATTCATAATTCAGTGTTATTTTTGTTGAAGCAGATCTCCAAAATTAAATACACTGAGTCCCACAAAAACCTGAATGAAGCATTTATTATAGATATTAGTGGAAAGCAAGTTGTCAGAGGTTCTTGACCAGAAACAATGATCTTCCTCAGCTTGAAAGGTAGAATGATCACCATGAAACTGTGGTTCAGAATGTCCAGTTTACAATGAACCACTTCTGAGGTTTATTAAAATGCAAATACCCAGAGCTCTCAACTCAGCATGGCTCAGGGATCTGAACAGAAACTTGAAGACTAGCTGTAACAATATGGTGATGATTGGTAAAAACCTATATCAACATCTAGTTCAGCAGGGATGGGGATATGATTTGGTATTGTGCAGGCCAGCTGTAAGGCTATAAGGATGAGGGGTAAAAAATCTATCAACAAACCAATAAAACAGCAAACAACCACTAAAACATTTGAATTTTATTTGGCATTCAGATGTTACAGTTAATATTTTGGTTGGTTGAACAGAAATTCCTCATGTCATCCGTGTCATTGGATATGAACAATGATATATAAACTGTAACATATATAGTTATTTTATAGAAACAAGTTTTAAAAATATTTTATTTATTATTTTTTACTTTATGTGTATGAGCGTGTTTTTTGCATGTATGTGAGTGCACCCGTGTCATGCAAAGGTCAGAAGAAGGTGTCAGATCCCCTGGGACTGGAGTTAGAGATGGTTGTTAGCCACCATGTGGGTGCTGGGAACTGAACCTGGATTCTCTGCAAGAGCAAACAGTGCTTTTAACCAATGAGCCATCTCTCCAGCCCTAGAAATAAATTTGAATTTAAATTCTATATATGAGTCTTTGGGCAAACAAATTCAAACTTGGATCTAACAATTCCTTTTTTCTTTTACTTATCTTTCCAATATTATTATGTGTGAAAACATCGTTGTATATCCATATTTCATACATGAATATAAATAAAATAGTAATTTAAAAATTAAAAAGCTATGAAAATACAATTACTTTACAGGAAAATAAAACAAAGCTAATCTCTTCTATAGTTCAAGTCATATTCTCAGTAACTAGTTATTTACATACAAGTAGAATTGATATAAATCCAAACCTTTGGATAAGCTGTGTAAACCTTGGCTCAACAGTCTATCATTTTATGGGCAAGGCCCCATGGCTGTGATTTCATGTTGCATACACTTTCAGGTTGTGTAAGACTTTCTTACACAATTGTTCCCTGCTCATGATAGATGAAACACGGTATAAAGGAAACATGGTATTCTGTAATATATGTCATCAATGAAAAATAGATGAGAAAGAAAAGACGGAGGGAAGATAAAAGTGGTTATCAATGAAGAAGAAGCAAACAGAAGGGGCTGGAGAGGTGGCTCAGTGTTTAAGAGCACTGAATGCTCTTGCAGAAAACACAGGTTCGATTTCCAGCACCCACATGGTGTCTGACAATTGCCTATAACTCCAGTTCCAGGGGATCTGACACCTTCTTCTGATCTCTGTGGGCACTGCACAACATGGGTGCACTTGCACACATGTAGGCAATACACTCATACACATAAAATGAAAGTAAATTAAATATTAAAAAAGAATGAAGAGAATCTTTTCTACTACGAAGTAGGAAAGATTAATAACACATGTACCTGAAATGACTCATTCGAACACCAATGATTACACAACTACTATTTCTAAAAAGATCAATATTCCAGGAGGAAACTTACCATATCAACCTCTGAAATGCTGTCAATACTTTCAACCTGAATATCGACATCCACTGGAACTGGGGACCCTTCAGAAAGAAAAGTGGAATTTGCTGAGAAATGAATTTTAATAATTTTAGATACCTTCCAAAACTAAGAAAGACCATTGTTCAACAATTGAAAGCAAATTATTTTTCAAGATTTTTTGCACAAGATTTCCCATTTTCTATTGAATCATTCATTGAACACTCAATGTAATAACTATAGTACATATACAGATAAATGCCACTTCAATCATTATTACTAATTTGCTTGTAACATCCCAAGGAATTCCTTGTAGAATATATTGAAGTAGTGGTGTCTTTGGTTTTATTCTTTATTTCCTTTCATATTTTGACTAGTAGGATTTAAATAGAAACAATGATTTGAATAATACCTAAGGGTATGTAGAATTATGCATCTTGTATAATAATGACAGTCGGTGAGTTTTATAGAGTTTTATAGAGTTTTTATAGAGTTCTTGGCTCTGGGCAGTAGCAAACCCATTTCTCTCCTGCCCCCTATTATCAGCCTTCTTCATTTGTGAAGTGGGTTGCCAGTGGATTGGCTGTCTAGAAACAGACAAATGCTACACCAACATTGCAGATTCTGGTGTACCCCTTTGCAGATCAGCAACCATAAAAGGCATTTGGGAAGAAGCAAACGATTTAGAAATGCGTTTGATGAAATACACTGAAATGGGAACTGGAGCAATTTCAGACAGAGAACTTCAAACTTGTTTGCTGACAGCTGGAGCTCAGGGAACCAGATTCCTGAGCTTAGAAAGCCCTTGTGGCAATTAAGAGAATCTATGCCAGAGAGTCATTATGACATTTTCTAGTTCCACCTAAGGAAGGATTTCAGTACTTCTGTGTGTGCGGTGTGTGTGTGTGTGTGTGTGTGTGTGTGTGTGCATGTGTGTGTCTGTGTCTGTGTGGTATAGCGTAAGTGGAGATAGGTTTTTAGCTTCATCATTACTTTTTGGTATAAAATTTGATCTCTATATATGACACAATTCATGTATTAATACATATTCTCCTCATGTTTTTCCATAATAAGCCATTCTCAGTTAAATATAGACATAGTCCATAGTTGAAAAATTTTCAGCTATTAGCAAATAAATATAAATTCTGCACAGCTGAGTCCTAGGTGGTTGTTTTGTCAATACGCTGAGATTTAGATGGGTCATTCCTGAATGACTTCCCTACTGGCTAAATAACTGGATGTGCTATATGTGACTTACTTATGCATTGATTCAACAGCCTTTTAAATCCATAATATAGTATAAAATAAGCTAACTCCTTTGACATTCTTATTCAACTTTGTTAATTGGCTGGTTACTTTTATCAGCATCAGTTTCCCTTTTTTGTTTATTATCATTCATTATTTTTAAAATTATTTAATTTTTAATTTTTGTAAATTTTTATTTGATTTTTTGTGTATTTCATACAGAGCAGCTTAATCATCTTTATACCCAGTTCCCCATTGGCACCCTTCCATAGCCCCCCACTGACTTTCATGCATTGTGTTATTTGTGTTAAGGCCTATCGAGTCAAGTTTGTGTTCCCAGATGTCCCTCAGTGCAAGTTCATCCACTGAGGACTAGTCAGCCTATCTAGAGTCCCTCCCTATAAGAAGATCAGCTCTTCCTCACCCAGCAGTAATCAGCTGCCAATAGTTCTTCAGCTAAGATTGGGGCCCACTGCCCATTTCCACAGTTCCATGCTGTTTTTTTGTCCACTTGAGTTTGCATGGGTCTTGTGCATGCTGACACCATTGCTGTAGGTTCATATGAGAAAGCCCCAAGCCTGTCACATCCTTAGACAAATGTAATTTCTTCCTATGTGCTAATTATGGATCCTTATATTTACGGACAAGCATCGCAGTCACCATTAATCAATGAAGCTTCTTTTGCAACAGATGGAAATTATTAAAGTGTTCCAAAACTGGTCAAATACGGATTGTCTGTGAATTGCCCAACCATAAATGACACTTGGAACTTCTATACCTAAGGCCCATGGAACATAGTGGAACAAGGGGTAGAAAAAATACTGATGCATCTCTCAACTCTCATCAATGAAGTTCCCTCATGCAACAGAGGACCATGAACACAAAAGGACACAAATGGCCAGAGCACAGAGAATACAGAGAATAAGAATCTGCAGAGTACAGGTCCTTGGACAGGGCTCCTATATTAAACTTCACCCAGCCTGGACTCAGGGACCACTGAAGATGAAGGATAGGAAAGATTGTAAGAGCCAGGGGAGGAGGTACATGATCATATGGAAACAGTCTTATAGGCTTCTGGGACATTGTTCATTCATTACTTTTGAGAGTCTTATCTAGCCAGATACTTGGTCTATCACTCAAATATATTCAGACTCACCCTTTATAAGTACCTTATTTGCATCCTAACTGCCATCTCCTTCCTGGCATGTTGGATCAATTAATTTGTAAAACATTAATTCAATAAATAATATTGTTTACTGCCAATTATGTTTACACATGAGCTTGGGAAAGCTCAGTTTCCACTCCTTCACAGCTTTACTCCTTTGTGATTTTGCATTTGTCCTTTTTCTTGTATTAATAATCAAAATAAAAATTCATGAAAACATCTACCCAGCACTTCATGCTGAAAATAAATCTTCCCATTAATTCTAATACTGCAAGGGAATACGATTTCAAAAGGTCTTGGAGAGGTCCTGGATAAAGTTCTAATAATCACATAGACTACAATTTGAATGCCATTTGTCACTATTATGTATTATAGGGTAAAGATTAACTCCAGGAAATGTATTAACTCAACCCTCCTCGAAAAATACACATACAGATATCTGAATATAAGTGCATGTGTATACCTGAAGCTACATAACAAAAAACACAGTACCAGACAGGAGAAACTTCCCTTTGAATTGTTGGTCAGGGCGGTGCAAGAGACTCCCCAAATACCACAGGCTTTTTCTGCTGACCTTGATTACCCCCCAGAACTTCAAGGTAAGGGAGCTGGATCCAACCTGTAAGCCTTCTACCTGAAGACTAGCTCTCATAGTTTTAGAGGATACTATGCAAGCTGCTAAGGAAGAAAAATCAATCAACGGTTAGACCCAGCTCTAAAGCCTAATAACCATGACAACTGGCACAGAAACTATCTCTATTGGTACAGTAGTGGCACTTTTACCTTGGGGCTAATCAACAGCTATCTAATTGGACTTAAAGCCCTTTCAATGGGAGGGAAATCATGGGTGACACTGTAATTATAGCCAAATACACATGACTGGAGAGGTCTTAGATCCTAGAGAAAACCCTCTCTGACATAAATCTAGGCAAATGAAACTTCTTACTATATGCTAAATATAGATCTTTGTATTTACAGACAATATGCCATAAACCACTCATCAAAGAAGCTTCTTTTTGCTACAGATGGAGGCTATTACAGAGTTCCACAAGTAGTCACACACAGAGAAAAATATATCTGAGAGATTTCGCAGCCCTAAATGACACATCTACAGTGGAACGTCTACATCTAAGTCTCATGGAACATAGCAGGACGGGGGGTACGGAGAATACTAATACATCTCTCAACTCTCACCAGGAAATCTTCCTCATATTACAGAGTGTGATGCACACAGAAGGCCACACTGGCTAAGTTTTAGAGAATAAGAGACTACAGAGTTCGTGTCCTTGGATACGATGCCTATATTAAACCTCACCCACTCATGGGTCAGGGACCATTGCAGAAGAGGGTGCAGAAAGATTTTGAGAGCCAGGATTCGTACATGAACATAACGAAGCAGAGTCTTTCAGGCCACTGGGAACTTGCTCATATGAACTTGCAACAATAGTGACAGCATGCACAAGGCCCATGCCCACTCAGATAAAAACCTTGTATTGAACAAGGGAAATGGGCAGCAGGCCCCAACCTTAGCCTAGGAACTACTGGCAACTGATCACTGCCGGGTGAGGGAGAGTAGATTTTCTTTAAGGGAGAGACTCTAGAAAGGCTGACTAGACTCCAGTGGATGAACTTGCACCAAGGGACATCTGGGTACAAATACTTGACCAGATAAACCTTAATATATATGACAGAATGCATGAAATCTGGTGGGGGGTATTGGGGGTGTGGATGGGGTAAGGGATCTAAATTTGATTAAGATCTATTATATGAAATGTACAAAACCTCAAAAATATTAAATAAGAATAACTCCAAAGTTTAGATACCTCCTCTATAAAATCTGTGTAGAGATACCCATAGAGATACATTTGCAGGTTATAAATGGTATAGTTAATAGACTTAATTGGTCCTTAATAAACTAATATCACTAGCTCAGTTAAGCAAAAATGCAGACCTGCCTCTTAGGAATACAAGCTCCACTATTTCTAATTAAACACTGCAACATACAGGCAATCAACATTCTTTCTCTCTCTGCGTGTCTCTTTCTCTCCTTCTGTGTCTGTCTGTCCTGTTTCTCTCTCTCTCACACATATACAGCTACAGTGCTTCCCTTCATTCATTTTCTGATAAAATCAGAGAACAACTTGGATTTTTAAGGGTAATTGGTCATTTAACTCTATGGTTTCATATCTGTGGGTTCAACTAACTTGAATTAAAATATTTAAAGCTCAGTATGTACTGAGCATAGATATTTTATTTTATACTTTTATCTTGTCACTAATCAAACAAGGTTATAAAATAATAATTTGCACAGCATTTTTATTGTAGTAGGTGTTATAAGTAAACTAGAGATGACTTAAAGAATGTGGAAAAATGCCTGTAGGGTATATGGAAATGCTCTGCCATTTTGTATAAAGAACGTCGACACCTGCCAATTGTGATGACTTCAGATGGTGGAAGCAGCTCTGGAACCACTTTTGGATCCAGAGAGACAGTATATATCCCAGTTGTTGGTGACTGTTTCTGAAGGCCTGGGGATAGTCTTATAAAACTAGTCTTCAAAGACATTCACACCACTGCTGGCTACACATTGGAGTCTCAAAGTTGTTCTGAGGTTGGCTTTACAGTGGACATAGACTTGGTTCATTTGGAATGAGT